ATTATTAGTTGGTATGTAAACATGTTGTCAGTTGAGTTAATAAATGAATTAAAACATTTATTTTGATTTATTTAGTCCGTGTATTTGTTTTTTACATCGTTTGTAAAGAGTTCTTATGTGTTGGTCAACTGTAGGCAGGAGGAAGTCTGTATGTAATGTAATGTTGTGTTTGTCCCGTACAAGATGCTTTAGTTGTAAATCGTAATATTTTTTATATGAAAGGTTGAAGTTTGTGTAAGTGAGTCTTTTTAGCTGTACCGTATATCTGCGAGGGGTCCATATTGGTTTAAGTAAATATAGGTATGTATTTAGTTTCCGTCTCAGTTCTAGTATTGAAGATTCGGAATAAGTGAATTAAGTATTTTGAGTCGTCTATTGAGGTTCTTCCGTATCATTTCAACATGTGGACCCCATGTCATTTTTTTCTCGAAGGTATGACCAAGGTAGTGCACGGTGTCGGTCTGAGGAATTTGGTTGTTTCCGATAAAAATTGGAGGGCAGTCATTTCTTCGAAGTGTAAATGTAATGTCTTTCGATTTATCGTGGTTTAGTCTAATTTTTCATGATTTGAACCAGTCTTGTAATTTATCTAAATGATATTGTTACTTCAGTGAGGTTTGTGTAGGTTCATGATGTTTTGTGAGAATCGCTGTGAATGACAAGTAAACAACATTAATATAATTATATGTCGTACAAATATATTTAAAATTTACAATTTATGTTTATGCCCACATTGATCTGAACTGTTTCATAATAAACTGAATTCGAAATATTATAAATAGGGAGAAAAATATTATAAATATTTTTTATTGAATTATTTTAATGTATATTAGTCAAAAAATTATTATAATACTTTTTTTTCTGTGGCCCACCGTAGCAGACTACTCATTTTCTGCCTGTCTTGTGCTTTATGGTTTGCTTCCGAGCCCTACTCATCATCTTAAATGATATAATTTATCTATGTTTTCTGATCTACCACGTGATCTCTTTCCAACTATTCAGGCATGCATTTATGAATAACAAAATAGGTTATGACAGAAAATATAATAAAAAAAGAAGTTTATATACAATATAATTTTAAAAAAAAAGACTTTTTTTAATCATGTCCACTCGTTAAAAATATATGCATAAGTCATTGAATTTTATTTTCTGAACTGATATATATATATATATATATATATATATATATATATATATATATATATATATTGTTTGTTTTTTGCATCTTGAGGTTCAAAAGTTAGATAAACAACTAAAATTTAACGACAGTTTAGCCAAAATTTATTTATTGAACAAATAATAGTATGGAGCCCTTTTTATCAACTTATTAACATCCGCCTGAAACTTCGTGAATAGCTTTACATCATCTTAACTATTTTATATACAAAACTCTTGGAATTGGGGGTTTTTATTCGTTTGCTTTTCACTTTGATCGTAAGATAATTCGATCACAAAATCGAGAGAAAATGTGGTCTATAAAAATATTAGGCCGTTTGACTTATATACCCTCGTTATTTTGACATTTTGGGACTGTAGGCCAAGGTAAATGGTTGTATATTTTTTTAGGTCACCTTTTTTCTCGATTTTATGCTCAAATTAAATGATTCAAGTTGAAAGCAAATCTGTATTTACGAGGTTTTAATACCTAATTAAATAGACCAAGTTTACGTATCTCCAAATTTAATATGCCCCATAGAGTGCTACCAATGGGTAGTTTCTCAACACGTGTTCCATTTCATTATATCCATGTGCCAATTTACCAAATGTATTTTTTGTATACAGTTGTAAATATCATATAAATAAATAATAAAAAAAAATATGCCCCATTTCGGAGAAATTTCTTAAATAATATAGTTATAGGATACTATGAGATTGCCATTCACGAAGCTTCACAAACATGTTAATAATTTGATAAAAAGGAATCCGTATCAAGGTCTAAAATTTTAAGAACCCTCCCTTAAAAAAAAGGAAGAAAATAGATACATATTTTTAATTATGTACATTATTTTTATTTATCTACCCTATTAAGATATTCTCAACTTTCTAAGCCCGTAAGAAAAAATTATTATTACTATTAAATATACCTAGGACTCCATCTGGACAAACGTCTAACTTGGAATCCTCATACCAGACTGAAACGACAAGAAACAGCTCGACGTTTCCGACTACTTCAATACTTACTAGAAAAACGCTCTAACCTTCCAATTAACTATAAAAGATTAATTTACATATAACTATAATAAGGCCTATTTGGACTTACGGAGTTGAGCTATGGGGCTCCACCAAACCTTCAAATTCCTGCCGCATCCAATCCTTACAATCCAAAATCCTTCGTAAAATCCTCAATGCTCCTTACTTTGTTACAAATAAAATCATCCATAATGACCTGAATGTTCCTTATGTAGCAGATTTGGCCCAATCCAGATATCTGTCATTCCTTAATAAACTTCATAACCATCCCAACCCTCTGGTTTCTAACCTTGCTTCCTATTCAATTCCTGATAACCCTCCGAGGCGTCTGAAAAGAAGATGGCCACGTGATCTCCTAATATAGACATATTATTTGAGTGCTACCAATGAGTAGTTTCTCAACATGTGTTTCATATCATTATATCCATGTGCAAATTTACCAGATGTATTTTTTGTATACAGTTGTAAATATCTTATAAATAAATAAAATAAAATAAAAGAACTATTAAATATAATTTTACAATCAACATTATAATTGATTGATGCTAGTTTAGAATTGCATGAAAGACCATGTTATTATCACCAAGCCCTCTGGGGTCCTGCTACGGACTGGTCCAGCTTCAATTATAAATACTTTGCAAATAGTTTCAGCTTGGCGTCCTTTAGGGTCAGCCAGCTACCGCAAGTTTCAACTATGTTTCTGATTAATTCCCTCATTTAATTGGTCGATATTCGCAAAAGCTTACTCGGAATCAGTTAACAGTTCCAATCATTATCCCCAGTGTCAAATGGTATACAAAATTTATCAACCAAACAAATCCAAATAATTTACTACATTATTTACTAGATGTTCTTCCACCCCCAAACAATTGATTTAGAAAAAGAAACGAATCTTTATTTATGGTATCTTTTTGTAACTAAACCCTCAAAGACTATTTATATTGGCTAGGTGTGCGCCAGGAGGATCTCCCAACCTCAGGATTGATTGATCTACGGCTGATTTAACAGAATTAATAGGAAGTCAGTCACTTACCCACTGAGCTAATCCACTTTCTTTAATATGTAATTATGTCCAATGAAAGCGTTGAAAATGATTCTGATTCTCATATTTTAGTAAATTTTCTACATAAGTTTATTTTCACAACATTTTCCTGCTGGTACATCTCATTTCCACGGGTTAAATGGCTAAGGTTTTAAATAATATTTTTAGCTCAAAAATATTACACTAAAATAAAATATTAAACTATACTTAATACCTAACGTTGTATGATTGTGTATAAATATGCAGTCACATCTTTCTAAAAAAGATCCTAGCTAGCCTGAATACTTTGCCACAGCATACTGTTTACCAATAACGTACATACTTCATCGGTAGTAATGCAAATATATCAGAATACAATGATGTTTCAACATATTATATTCTTCGGAATTATTTTTATAAAATATGAAACATATGAAAACGTAATATGAGCATGACTAGATAACTGATAAGCTGATAGATGAAAGAGATAACTGAACGAAACTGAAATTTGACAATGACAGTTTGTACGGCACTTAGCAGAAGCGAATTAATCCATATTACACTTAATTTGATTAAAATCAAGTCAAAAATTAAGTGGTTTTTCAAATAAGTAACTATAATTTATTTTTTATTGCTCGGATTCGAAATTTCTCTCGATCACAATACTACATATATTGATCGTTAAAATTAGTTTTACATCAAATGTAATAAACGATTTGAAAATGTAATTGATCCAAATTAAAACTTATTAAAAGCAATATATAATGATGATTCCTAATTCAAAATAAATTTAGGTAATGTAGCGTAAAATGTAACCTCGAGATAACCTAGCGGGTTTTTCTCCCAACTTATTAAAATTGGAATGAATTCAGACATTTCATTTTTACTTGAAAGAAAAAAAAAATGAAAAGCATATGTAGCAGGTTCTTCAGTCCACCGAGTCTCGGTATAGATTGAAGTTTCTCATATAATATTTATCCACGAGATGCTGTAAAATTTAATATTCAGAGATTTATGAGAAGGCTTTTTTCCTCGACTGAACTAAACCGGGGTATTCAAATGTATGAATGTTTGCCATGCCTGGTTGTGTTTATGCGAGTGAGTGTGTCTGCATAATATGACTACAATGTAACCTTGGCTGCAAAATTATTATATAAAATTATTGTACATTGTATAATGTCTGTACAATATAACTTTCCTTAGCTGTGTTAATAGAACCCCCTCTTTCCTCCAGTGTGTATTTGGCAGTATGTATGCATCCACAATTAATATTTATTTTTCTTTCTGCATATTACTCATCTCGGTTTTTCTGCATTGATGATTCCTGATTTGGTGAAACGTTGGCAAGTTAACTATCCACCTGTATGTTTGGAGAATCATGGATTTGTTGTTTGGATTTTTTCATAAATAAAATATGACTATAGTTATACGAAAATGATATTTCACGACATAAAGCAGTGGTTATCGAGCCTATTCGGTCCATTTTCGCTCGTAATGAGTGTTGGAATAGAAAATTACCAAGTTGGCTTTGGCTACTGTTACTTTTACGATTGCGATTCTTATCTCACTTCGGTGGAATTTAACCGTGCGTTCACGTAAACTTTTTCTGTTACGATCTGTCGACTTATCCATTCGAGTGCGACAGAAGGCGAGCCAATGCATTCCGTTCGTTATGCGCCGGATGTGATATAATTCGGTAAGATCTAATGAAAGGATAATTATTAGTGTGAGACTGGGTGCAAAACATTGCTCAACTATAGTTAAGCAATGCTGTTATCGCACAGGATGGAGCTCGTATATAAAGCCGAGAGTAATCTCTCATGGGATCACAACAGTCCTCAGAACACGACATGTGGCATCAAGGAGCTCTTGCAGTACTCTTATTTTCGGCGTCGGTGGTCTTAGGGCATGAACCTAAAGACGTGCACATTCATAACGTCAGGACGGAAATCATCAACAAGGAAGAACCTGTTCCAGTACCATATGAGGTCATCAAGCACGTGCCATACCCTGTAAAAGTACCAGTCGATAACCCGGTGCCATTCCACGTACCCAAACCGTACCCGGTGGAAGTCGAGAAGAAGGTTCCAGTTCCTGTGCACGTGCAAGTACCACAGCCGTACCCGGTCTACAAGGAAATCAAAGTGCCAGTAGAGGTTCCTGTCGATAATCCAGTACCGTATCACGTTTCAAAACCGTATCCAGTGACTGTTGAAAAGAAGGTACCTTATCCAGTGGAGAAGGAAATTCCTGTGCCAGTGAAGGAATACGTCGAAGTCCCTAAGCCGTACCATGTACCGGTTACAGTCGAAAAAAAAGTTCCTTACGTAGTTGAAAAAAAAGTTCCAGTCCGCGTTGAAGTCCCCGTGGAAAAACCCTATCCCGTTGAGGTACCCAGACCTTACCCAGTGACCGTAGAGAAGAAAGTGCCTTATGTAGTGGAGAAGAAGGTACCGTACCCAGTCAAAGTCCCCGAGTACGTTAAAGTACCAGTGCCTGTACAATCAGACGAAGGCTACAGTCACGGATATAGTGGTTCTAGTTCCGAGGAGGGAAGTCAGCATCACTACAGTCATTAGGTTTTAATAGGTGATATGAAATTAGTAATATTGTTTTATTATTTATATCTCTAGATTACAGTTTTCAAACCAATATATTGTTTAACTAGAGTTAAATAATTTATTTGTTAACAATATTTCATTCAAATAAATTGTAAATATGTCGTTTATTTTTATTTTTATTTGTAAAAAACCTAAATCTATTTAGAATGCTCATGGATAAAAATAGTATTATTCATTAATATGAAAATTCTAAGAGTCGTTCGAAAGATTACGCTTCTGTTGATTTTCACTACTTTTTTTTTCCAAATTATTAGCTTTATATTTGTTATATTTTAATATTACTAAAATGACAAATTTCTCAACGAAATTCATTAATATTATAGAATTTAAATTAAATTGAATCAAGTTTTACTACAGTACAATTAAAAATAAAAATCAATAATAATAATAAACTAAATTTAACAGTGAAGGTTACTCACTCATTTTTTAGGCACTGTAAGATTGTTTTAAATTAATTTCAAACATCCTCCGTTCTTACCTGCAACAAATATCAAAAATTAGTTATCACAAAGTCAAAAATTCAAATATAATTTAGATAGTTTATTTCATTAAAAAACAAAACTCACTGGATATAATAATAAATTGCTTAATCAAATATTGAGTTAAGATTTTAGATAAAGTTTTTAGATATATATTTAACTGATGATAAACAAAACTTCTTATAAATGGCATCTTTCAATTTCCTAAGTCAGACAAGAAGTATTTAGTATAAAAATTGCAAAAATAATATCAAAGTTGTTTTTAACTTAATTATATAACTTTTTATTGAGTAATTACTACATCTTTTCACAATAAAGTATATTACTGACAGAGATAGAATTGGTCATTCACACTCTATGTACAATAAATAAAAAAAAACTACAGTAAAATAATAGTACTAAAAACAAATAAATATGTATGAAAAAAAAATAAATTTAAACTAATCTAAAAAAAAAACTTAAATATTTACAAGCATTTATTCAGAACTTCGAGCTGAGCTTTTTCCCCCACATGTGGAAGGAAAAGCTGAGCCATGGGAGATCTTAGCGCTTCTCTTTTAGAGGCGTCACAGGTATAATTGACCAATTAAGACTAATAGTATTATTTTCGTATTATTATAACCACCTTGTGTTAAAGAAGGCAAATATAAAAGTTCATAGAAAATTCTATGTTTAATCTAAAATGATGAATAAGTTAAAAAATATACTCAGAATTTCTCAGATACTCATCCTTCCTCAATCGATATAATTTATATATTAGTAATTTTATTTTTATTCATGATTTATTGAAATTGAAGGTATCGTACTTTACTGCCCTAAAATAACATTCATTTTTATCAACAAATGGAAAGTTTCCTTCGAGGATTAAACATTCTAATGGAAACAAAACAGTTTTTCTTTTCTTCAACTTCTTTAGGGGCCTGTAATAAAAAATAATCGGAGTTCAAAACAGGCCACGGGCCGAGTAGATGTTTATGTCGGTCGACTGTTCTCAAAGTTGTGAAGTTCCGAACATTGTTACATCGACACTGCTTCGGTCTCCCTCAATGACATAAAAAACGAGACGTCTTTTAGTTTAGCAATTTACAACGTAGTTCGCCGTTTGTTCGTCTCAGGATAAATTGCAAGCCAACTTTCTCCAAATTAACAGCCACCGCTCGTCTGCTTTACTAAAAAAAAAAACCTAATTAACAATCCGATACCATTAGTGAGCGTTATTTTCCCGAACCGGTCTCGAACCTCCTTCCCTTAGCAAGGGAAAAAGGTCGGACTGATTAATGATTTGACTCCGGGCTAAAGAAATCCAATTTTTGAAAAGCTCTCAAGTCGCCAACTTGTTCAATCTCAGTTTTGGAAAGTAATTTTTCACGGTTCACTTTGCCGAACCCGCTTGGGCCTTCGCAACCGAAAGAAAATTAATAAAATTCTAACTTTCGACGAGCTGAGTCGTTTGCTAACAGTCTTGGTAGTTAGCGATCCTTGTGTGACAATCTTTAATTTCAGAGTAAGCTAGAAAGAAAAAAAATGAGCCACTTTAACTGGTTGCTTTATTTTTAATTAATGTTTTTTAGTATTTCACTATAACGGTATAAAATTAATGACTTATGAAGAACTTGATGATCAAGCTTTTTTAGAAAATAATTCAATATTTTTAACATATTACTTAATAATTCGGTAACAAATATGAACACAATTAATACAGTAAAACCACCCACTTACTATTGGTTGTCAATCATTATAAACAGATAATGTATTCATTAATGAGTTTATTTATGACAATGGCGGGCTCTTCAACCTCTTACGGGTCATTTTAGCTCTTACACATTATTTATATTATATCAGATGAAATTTAACAATAAATTGAAAGTACAAAATCTTAAAAACATTAAAATTCCTAAAAAAAAAGTCAGAAAAAATTAAATTTTGTTAAATAGGTGTGTTATTTGAAGGGATGCAAACAATTTTGTGCTGTTTTTGAAAATTGTAGTTATATCCTTCTCCAATCCAACTTTTTGTCGTTGTGCTTCATATACATAACATACAGTCAAAATGTGCCTGACAGTTAAATTGACCCGGCAGCAGAGACACTGAGAGTGCGTCCCCTTTGTCATTAGATACTCATGAGTTAGCCGTGAGTGGCCGATTCGGAGCCTAAGTCAGGATTATTTCTTTTATTCTATTCAACTCAAGGTCCCCAAGACTTGGAACTACATAGAGCTTGATCACCCTTAACTTATTGTCTCTTAAAATATGGCAGAGACCCTGTCATTTCTCCAGAGCCTTTCTCTTTACCAAAGGTACTACTTCTTATGGAAAAGCATCCCATACTGGAGTTTCTTCCGTGCTTGCTTGTTTTGCCATGATATCGGCTGGCTCATTAACTCTAATACTTGAGTGATCCGGTAACCACAAAAATTATATCTTATATCCTACACTCTCCAATGTTTTTATATGCCTAACTGTATCTATGACTAATGAGTTAGTTGAAAATGAATTTGTAATAGTTTTAAGAGCAGATTCTGAATCTGTACAAATATAAATTTATTTATTGCAGTTGAAACTACAAACGGCACGATTTATTGCAAACATTAATGATAAACGACCTTAAATTTTAGCCATTTATATAATAATACGTTTGTTTTATTTTTGTTTGGTTTCTAGATTAACATTTTGGAAAATTGATTTTCTCTAATGTCTTTTTTGCATAAATGAATATAACAGTTTCTGATTGATGTATATATAGGACAATGTGCGATTAATTACAACAGAGTTTCATAGGTGTTCAGATAACATATCATTCAGATTTATGTGGGATTAATATTATAAGTATGGTTTTTAACGCTGAATTAAATGATGTACTTCCCAGATAGGCGGCCCTGAGATATTATTGTTATCATATTAAACGGTTTTTTTCAGTGGATAAATAGCTCTGTCAGGATGAGATTTTTGGTAAATTAAATTGTAGTAGTGGCTATATTGGCTTCTTCATAACGATTCATAACGATTATACAAGCACCTATATAATAGGTGCTTGTATAATTCCAGAATTTGTGAGAAATTAGTTTGGGAAATGAAAACGTTATTTCCAAATAGTATATATAAGCCATTGATTCTATCTAGAATATTATATATTTGGTTGAACCAATAATATTTTTGGATGGTCGGATTTGATGTTTATCTCCAAGAATCGTAAAGCAAATGTTAGCAATTCTATTATCTGACATGCTACATGACTTATATATATAATTTATGGATCAATATATGTATTGGATAGTAAAATTTTGAAGAAAAAAAATGCTAACTTTGGGTTAAATAACACCAAATCAGCCTACATACTACAGTACGTTTTTGAAGTGAAAACTTCTTTAGACGAGGTTTATCCATTTTGTGTGGAGAGTGAATAAGATTGAGTTGTCAGATCTCAGATGTGTAACGCTCTGGTAAAGTCGGCATGAGTCGACTAGTTGAGATGTTTTTGCATATGGATTAAAATATCTCAAAAAGTAAATATCGGACCTGCGTACTATAAGCGAGGGAATCGTTCAGCATTTCATAGTATCTATAATGAGTTATTATTCGAAATTGTATCTGAACGCGACGTCGTGTTAGAGATAGAAAAATAGTGCAGAAAAACAAATTGTAACGAGTTTTATTGAAGATATGAATTAAAATATATCAGTAACTAAAAATCAGATCTGTATACTGTAAGGAAGGGAAATGTTCAGCATTTCATCTTCGGAATCTCAAGAGATAAGCATATAACCCAGTATTACACCAAGTTGAAGTGGCTCTATCCATCCAACCGCCATCTGTACTTCCTTGCTCCCTTTCTATACCAAGCCATCAGAATTCAGAGACTTTCCTATATTTTTCATAGCCTACAATTTAAATATTCCATTCAATCCCGTCCCAATAGATCCCGTACTTCTGACCTCTACCCACCTCCTCACCGAACTGATGCGTTTGACAAATCCTATATAATTCAAGCTGTCTCCATCTAGAATACCATCCCTCCCGATATCCGGCATGCGCAATCAGTTTCCTCATTTAAATATCACCTTTTTAAGCACCTACTTCTTTCCCAACCCGACTGAGTAGATAAGAGAACTTTTTATGTTATCCCAGAAATGATTTTGTTTACAATGTTTGTATTATATATATATATATATATATATATATATATATATATATATATATATATATATATATATATATATATATATATATATCTGTATATATTTAGTGTTTTTGTTTTAATTTTTTTCCAAAATTTTAATTTTAATGAGAGTTGTAAATATTTAATTTAATTTTACGGCCACACAGACATTTTCTATATATCTATAATTTGTCCTAAAGGGACAACAGTCCCAGGATAATAAGAATATATTTTCATTTCATTTCATCCTCTTTTTAATGAGCTATTATTTATAATTTATATTTCATATTATTAATCTCGCCTTGTTGATGTTTTCACTTCCA